AGTAAGGAGCAAGGACATGGGTCCCTCTATTAAATGACCAGACGATAGACTGTAATGGTTACAGTCGTTTTCTGTTTGTGGAAAATGCAAATGGTACAGAGAATTCCCCTCGGACTGCCCTCCTCCCCATCCTGGTACACAGTTTCTTCTATTATCACTGTGGGCCATGTTTTGTGATCAAGGAATCACTGCGGACACGTCACTATTAGGGAAAGTCCACGTTATTCAGGTTTATTTCATCATTACATAATTACACTACATTGAGTCATCGTGTCTCTGAGGTTCCCAGACTGCGGGAGTTTCTCAGGCTTTCCTGGACAGCTGCCCCCACCCCCACCCCCACCCCTTGGACGGTTTTGAGGAAGATTGGTCAGACCTATTGTGGGATATCCCTCAATTGGGGTCTGCCCATTCCTTTTCTCAGGATTAGACTGGGATTCAGAATTGGGGGCTGTAAACTCAGAAAAGCACATCCCCGTTTTCGGCCAGCCTATCACAGGCACATCCTACGATTGTGCCCTGGTCTTCCCGTTGACATCATAGTGCTTGGAGACGTCGCCTCTGTAAAGTTACTCTTCTCCCTCCACACTACGCTTCCTCTCTGGAAAGAAGTCACCCTGGGTAGCCCACACTGAGGGATTGGTGAGGCTGGCACCTCCTCTCTCAAGGGCAGAGGAATCATGGCGGTGCAGCAGTTACGCCTTGGGCTTCTAACCTTAAGCTCAGCAGGTTGAAATGACTGACTGCTCGGGGAAGAAAGAAGAGGCTCTCTACTCCCAAAAATCTATTAAGAAGGCATTCTACTCCCATGAAGTTTAGCCAGGGGGCGGGGGGGAGGGGGAAGGCTCCAGGAGTTGATGGAATATCAGCTAAAATGTTTCAGCAAGATGATGAAGCTCTGGAAGCAATCACTTGTCTATGCCAGAACGTTTGGAAGACTTGGCCAACTGCCTGGAAGAGAGCCACATCTGTGCCCATTCCAAAGAAAAGTGATCCAAAAGAATGCTCAAACTGAGAACAATATCTCTGATATCGCACACAAGTAAAGTGTTGCCGAAGATAATCCCACAACAGCTGCAGCAGTGCTTGACAGGGAATGGCCAGAAGGTCAGGTCAGATTCAGACAAGGACGTAGCAAAGGATATCATTGCCGATATCAGCTGGATCTTGACCCAAAGCAAGAGAATACCAGAAAGCTGTTTACTTGTGTTTCATTGACTATGCAAAGGCATTCATCTGTGCAGACCATAATAAACTAGATATTTTTAGAAGATGGAAGTTCCAGAACACTTCATCATGCTCATTTAAGCTTGTACAGAGATCCAGTGGGAGTTGTGGACCAGAACAAAGAAACAATGCATGGTTTGAAATCAGGAAAGGTGTGTATCAGGATTGTATCCTTTCTCCATACTTATTCCATCTGTATGCTGAGCAAATCATCCGAGAAACCAGATTACACAAAGCATGTGGCATCAAGGTTGGAGGAAGGCTTATGAACAACCTGCAAAGTGCAGATGGCACAACCTTCCTTTCTGAGAGTGAGGAGGAATTGAAGCACTTGCTCATGAAGATCAAGGATTGAAGCCTGCAGTATGGACTACTGCTCAATGTATAAAAGATAAAAATCCTCACAACTGGGTAACATCATGATAGACGGAGAAAAGGCTGAAGTTGTCAAGGATCTTGTCTTGCTGGGATCCACACTCAATGCTCATGAGAGTAGCAGTCAAGAGATTAAACGATGCATTGCAATAGGTAGTCTGCTGCACAGTGTAGTATTAAATAAAAAGATAAAGACGCTGAGGGGGAGGGGGCAGCCCCCAC